GACAACTTCACTGCTCTCTTCCTCTGCATGGCACGCATTCACCTCTCTCTCTCTTTCACTCATCCACACACTAACTATGCACATAAAAAGGAGTAGCTACTCTTATAACAGAGGATATGAAGGAATGGTGTTCTTGATACATCTGCACTTTGAGGTGTCCCCTGTTCCTCTGGTGCAGCGATAAAGTACTGAACTTGCGTTAATGAAAATAAATTTATTAAAATTTCTTTCTTTTTTTTTTTGGTTTATACCAGTTAAAACCACTATTGATTTTGTCTCTGGTAGGAGCAGTTCATGTTTATGGTTTATGTTTATTAATGAGTCCAACATTTGAGTGACTACATGATGGAACAGGTTGTATAAATTCTTTCAAATGCAACATTTACAACTAAAATACAGTTGCAGCTATTACATGCAGTAAAATATCTGATTTATTTCTCATGTAGATCAACCCTTGTACCAAGTTAATTCCGCTAATAAGTTAAAAATAAAGAATTTAAAGTTTATTATGTATATAATAACTGTCCCTGGCTTCCTGTCATTTTGTAAAAGTCGCCCCCAGGCAAAGCAAGTTGGGTATCCGCGCTGTAACGCCACTGTAAGGTTTGCATTTCTGGTTTTCATTAACTTTCCATGAGGTGCCATCATCAAGTTAAAATTTCTGTTTTTTCAATACTTTGATTTGTGACCAAATATGTGCAAAGCTAACGCCATTCCCATCAGCCTCAGCTGTACTTTGGGTTAAGTGCAAATTAGCAAATGTTGTATTATAATTCTGAAGATGTGATGCTCTGAAGGGTGCTCACATACATAAAGATAGATTTACTGAAATCAATCCTCATGTCTTAGTATAAGAATAGGAACTTCGTATTTCAAAAGTGTCACAGATTCCTACAACTTCCTTCCTTATCACAAAGCTTCTACTTCTACTGAGATGTTACCGGATCCTACAGTTCTATAATGTCAAAGATAGTTGCCGTATGTGTGTGTGTGCTTGTGTGTGTGTCGACCAGACTGAATCACATCTCTATGATGGTGTCTGTGGAGGTACCTGCTCTTATTGGCAAGTGCTACTGCCGCTTCAATGATGCCAAAAATAAAACAAACACAGAATGAGTCACGGCTCTGCTTTTCCTGCTCTGTCTTATTAGGGAGACCCTGCTTTGAATCTGTATCTTCCACTTGTGTTGAGACATTTGAAAACATGTTCTTTAAAGCACTGGAATACACTGGAGTCAAACTCATGTTGAGAAAGGATACAACACAAATGGAGAAGTGATTTGTAACCATAATAATAAGGTATACTGTGGTCACTGCTTTATAGATACCATACTGAATAGACTAAAATACTGCATGAATGTTTGATTTAAAATATATATCTTGTATTCTCTGTTTAGCATGTGGAGAAAAATAAAGTTGAATTTAATCTTTTTAAGACCTTTTTAAGACAAACATTTAAAGAAATTTATGAATTTTTGGACAAATCATACGGTCAACAGGTGGCACACATAGAGAAACTCCACGATATTTAACGTAACATATTATATGTAACATTGAACATATATTTAGTACAAATTTATTCTGGTACATTTAGCTGTCTAAATTACACATTTATATGAGTGTGGCATTAGCTAGTGACACTAGCTTGTTTTGGAAGAAAAGCCCTATTGTTATATAGCTAAAAGACACGTCCTCTGTTTTTTCTACACACAAATTACAAATGGTGTATTTTGAAAGCTGATTTTGTGTTTTTTTTTGTCAGTACTAAATATCTTTTGTCAAATTCAGGGCAAAGTTTATTACATTAAATTACATTATAATGAAAGTTACTCTTTCTCCACCAGAATTAGACCAACATTAGACCAATAAAATGTACAGAACATATAACTGAACAGTTAATGTATTCATAATTTAATTTAAATGTATTAAAAAATATCATAGCTAGTAAAACATTTATTTGGGGTGGGATGGATTAATAGCTATGGCACCGGTTCAAGGATTCATTTGGACAGATAAATGAAGTTGTTTTGGTCTAAAGTAAGCCTTTTCCCAATAGTTAGTAACACATTTCACTGTAAAGGAAGGTGTATTATTACTTCAATCAAAAATCTAGTTCTGAACTGATACTGATAAAAAGAAAATCCAATGAAAGATCACATAAATTCAAATTTAAGACCATAAAGGCTTTTAAGAGCTTTGATACATTTAATAAATTTTTATATTTATATTTTACATTTATAAAAAAATGTTTTGAGAGTGACACTGATATCCGCCATTTTTTAAAACATAAACACATAACATAAATAGATGTTTTTCACAAGAATACATTTATTTTTTTAAAGTGCCATTTTATATATCTACTGTATATACAGCAAAGTTTGACTTTGTGTTGACCCCTTCAATGGGAAACATAAAGTTATCCACTATCAGAATTGTGGTTATTCAACATAAAATGATCACATCTTCCTAATTTTATGACTTCTATGATTTTGGAGGAAATGTCAGGTGCTTATAATATCTTGCAGACTTTACACTGGTCAGACACACAGACCATGAGCACACAGATTCAGTAGTGTCAACACAAGAAGCTGTTTGTTGGCTAAAAGGCATCAGGATGTGAATTTCCACTGACTCTTTCCTGACTTTTGCACAAGCCTCCCCTTGGAGACACACAGCCTTAAACAGTGTGAGCGCCAGAGTCGACAAAAACACTTTCCCTTGTATGTTCACACAAGCAATTATATTTCTTTTCCAACAGAAAAACAAAAGACTTAATTTCACTCCAGAGTCAAGGACCAAAGATAATTGCGAAAAACGTAAGCTTGGCATCATGCGCTTATCCTCCCTGAGGTTATTTCTGAAGATCAACCTGGGTTTATCAAGCCCTGCCATTAATTTTCCATTATCCACTTACTCTTCTATCAAACACACAGCCTCTGATCCCTTCAGGAATTGTCATGTCTTAAAAACAGACTCGTACTGGAAAATATTATTCTTTAAGGTTTATGTGATTTCGGTTTTATCTAACTAAACAAAATGTGTTTAGCCTGAAAATTCTTGATCTTGTTAACAGTTGTTTCACAGCTGGGTTTCATTATTATTTTCTTGCCAAGAGACATATGATAAGATTAATATTACGTATTGAGTCTGGCAGCCGATTAGTTTAGCTTAGCATTAAGACTGGACAGCTAGCCTGGCTTTCTCCTTGTTGACACCGTGAGGTTGCCAGGCAACCGGTAGAGACTCCAGGAAGTCGTTGCACCTGGCAAAGAACTAGTTGCAGCATGCAAATGGCCAAGAAGTCACACTGCTTTTTTTATTTATTTATTTATTTTTTTACACAAACCAATCTGTTAATTAGTGAGTTGAGTTGGGTAGCTGTTTCCCCCTTTTCTCCATCTGTGTGCCAAGCTAAGCTAATTGTTTGCTTCATGTTTACCATAAAGACATAAAAGTGGTATCTAACTCTCGGCAAGAAAGTGAATACAAAGCTCCCAGAACGGTCGACAGTTTATTTAAATTTATGGTCCACTTAATAGCCACAAAAATACAGAATTTTTTAAAGGCCTCTTAATGCACAGGTGCTTTATGATCTGACAGTGTTGTTTGCCAGTGCTTTCCAAAACTGTTACAAAGAAACTGGCGTTACAAAACTAATTAATGGTTGTTTTCTGACCTGTCACTGCCTGGCTTAAGGTTGGGTTTAGCCTCAATATATATTGGTAAAGGAAAGGTGACTGTTATATTTTTGCTATAAGAAAAGATTGTGGTCATGTTGAAAAGAAAACATTGTTGGTTGGAAGCAGGTAATAAACAGAAGCAAGTCCAAGTCATATACTTTGCTGGCCCATCCATGAACCCCAACCTCATCCAAAGAGTTTGTTGTGCTAATATCACGCTACATCCACCTTTGTTCCTGATGGAACACAGTCGTAATTCATATGGCAGGTAGAGTCCTATTAATACATCAGTTATGAATGACAATAATTATCAGCTGCAGCCTACAGTGAGCATCTACAGAGGTCAAATCAACAGTGCATGTTATTAAACCTTTACATGTGTTTACAATCATTTCATCTATTATACTAATCTACCAATACATATTCTCTGAATGTCTAATCGATAATCCATCATGATGGATCACAGAAGACCCTTAGGCTTTGGATATTTTTGCTGTACAAACTATAGCAAATACATAGTTTGTACAGCAAAAATATCCAATTCAAATTGTAGCAGAGGTGATGAAAATGAGAGGACACCACTGGCCAGATCGTTGTCTTACTCTGCTGGGTGGCGGTCACGCTTTGAATATTTAGGCTATCAGTGACCTCATCCTGGCTCACCACAGTGTTTGGATATTCCACACACCCCCACACACAGCAGCATTATGCGTAGTGTCAGTCTGCTAGGGCTGATAGGCAGCATGTGGTTTCTCCTCAACGCTAATCAGTCATACACGTGGCAGGCAGCACTCCTAGACAAACCCACAATATGTCTCTGGTAGGAAGTACGATCGCAGTGCGAAACCCTAGGACTTCCTGTCCCTCTGGGCTATCGGGATGTACAGACACAGCTCACAGTGGAGGGACATACACTCGCACACACACATTCCCCCAAAGCAACAATGACTCAACAGCTTAGTAATCAACCACAAAGACACACACTGCGCTGCAGCTTTACACCAGCAGCGTCAAAACAAAACAAATGAACTTTGGAGGCTGAGCAGGCAGCAGAGTCCTGCATCACTGCGAGTGGAGCACCCATTGTGATCAACGCTGGCAAAGCACATTGCTGGACCACACCCAGTACGTCATGACTCATCAGTCCCCCTCTGTTGTACATGCATGCCAACAGAAAAGAGGCAGGAGGCAGTAACAGAGAGAGAGGCAGAAAGGGAGGGGAGATCATGAGGAGAAGAATCAACGAGGAGGATGAGGAGAAAGAGGATGAGGAGACAAAGAGAGCAACAAACACGTGAGTGCATTGTGAATGGGACTCACCAGCTCGACTGAACCATAGTGTTTCCTGCTGAAGTCTCCACGCCTGCAGCCCAAGTCCTCCGAGGCAGAGCTGCAACACAAATGCATGGTCAGACACATGGCTTGTCTGTCCTCCATCACACAACACATACGTACATAAACTGTGACATCACTCATACACAAGTGGCAGTTGCAGCATCTGCTTTTCTCCAGTCTTTTTTTTTTAAACGCAGTTATCTGACTTTGTCTTCTTCATGCCCAGTTTGTTCACCCTATGTTCTTTCTTTCTCTCTTGCCTTCCCTTTTTCTTTCTTTCCCTTTCTCCTGTCTGAAGTCTTTGTCGCTGTGGCGGGGCTGCCGGTGGCATGGTGACTGGCCGGGAGCGGCAGCCAACCCAGTTTAGATTGAGACACGGGTCCTGATTGAATTAAGCCAGAGTGATAGATGGAGACTGGCTGAGAGAGCTGACTGCTGGTCAAATAGTCAAATGCACAGAGTAGATACAATCGCTAATACATAGAAAGACACACACACACACACACACACACAAACACACACAGATACAAGTATGAATAAGTAATTGCTATCAGTTACAAACATCTTCAACTGTTCTGTCAAAATGAAGAATAGCTGGATTTTTGTATTTGATTATGCTGAAGTTCATGCGGCCCTAAAAGCCACTCTTAGTCATACAGTATCATATAAGGAACACAGATATTATAAGTTATTTGTCTTCATGTTTAGATAAAAATGACAATGATTTCCTCACTGGCCTGGCCAAGAGTAGTCCCACACAGTACAGAAAAAAACAAACATATAAAGTATTGTGGTACAGTGATCTTTAGATTAGATTAGGTTTTCTTACTTTTGGCCAGAACCAGTGTAGCCATTTCCCCGTTTTCAGTCTTATGCTAAACAAAGCTAACCAGCAACTGACTGCTTCATATTGAGTGGGCAGATTAGTATTGTTCCTCTTTTACCAAATGTTAGCATGCTAAAACACTAAAGTTTCCAATTTCTTCCGCAATTATTGTAATTAAGAACATGGCAAGGCACAGCCTACACTGAGAGACACACATTAAATAGGCTACTGGGGACACAAGGCTAATATTTTAACACCCTATGTCAGAACAAAGTTTGTCCTAAAAATATGCAAACATGAAATAATTTTGTATGTACCACTATACACAAAAATGTAAGGGTGTGAAAAGGGCCAGCCACTGGTGATGTACACAGAATTAATTTTGCTTTCTCCTTGAAATGCATTAACCCCTCCGAAAATCTGTTTTTTTCTATTAATTATACAACCAAAGCTCAACCCAGACTTCACCCCACTGCCTAAAACGTTATGGCTTCAGGCCAAAGACGGCAGCAAATGGTAAACCCCATGAGTGCGTGCATAGTGGGAGGTACTTGTACTGTGTACCTTGTTTGCATGTATCTGTATGATTGCCTGAGTGGTGATAAGACTTGCCAGCTTTTTGCTTCTTCTGTCTCTCTGGACCACATCCCCCACTCCTCTTATATCTCCCCCTAACTCTTCCCTCTCTGGTCAGGTTTCCCTCCCTCTCTCTCTCTGCAGAGGAGATGAAGGCAGAGTGGGGCTGTTAATACATAATGTACACTCAAGCTTAAAGGACGCATTTTAAAGTGTGTCTGTACTACAGGATGTATCCATCACTATTTCCTTACCCAACTCTCTCCCTGCATGCTCGCTTCCTTTACAAACTGGCGATTGGGGTGGGGTTTGCTGGAGCACCATTACAACATGTATTCCATCACAGTTTTTACCTTTATTGGATCCCACTTTTTCATCTTAGCGCCCAGATTTGCTATCTTTCCTACCCTTCACCTTTCCTCTGAGAGAGGGTCATGGAAAAGGTTGTACATTGGTGGGGGATGATTAATTGATACCACCCCACCCACCTCTCTAATGAAAATCCCTCCATCTCCTGATGCTCATCTGTAAAGGTTTGTTAGTCTGGGCATCTTGTTATGTATAAAAGGTACATATGAACATGTTAGGACTGAACAAAAAGACAATGATTGCAGATGAATAAGTAAAAAAAAAAAAGAGAGATGTACCATCAACAACTCTCTAGTGGTTGTGGTTCAAGAGAGTTTTTTTTTTTTTTCCTAACCTTGGTTAATTGGTTTTGCTTTTTGGCTTTAGTGAATACATGCATCAAAACAGTCTCTTTCTGCATTTCGTGCACACAAAGATATTTTTTTCAAAGAAGACTACTTCTACTTGGCTGTATAATGCCCTAAGGAAAAGCATTGTTGCCAGATTGAGAGTGCTTCCTTATGTACTTGGGAAAATGTTCATTGTCCAATTTTAGCTTTTTTCGCTTTTAAAATGAGAGATATTTTAACACATGTAGGAGGTGTAGCCTGTGGCGAACTAAGAGCCGTTTGTACACAAGGTGGTTTCTGTCAGACCAAAAAGCTGTGCTGACACCTATTAAGGAGGTGAAACAAGCCGGGAGAGTAAAGCGCTTGGAGTCTGATTAGGAACGTGTACCTGTCAACAGAGCCCTGGGTGACCAATGCAGTGGAGATGACGTCCTCAGATTTTAAGTGCAGTCAGTACGAGCAATCAAAGCAACAAAACGAGATTCTGTACAGTGTGAGCTTGTTCGCTCTGGTAGGAATTCTTGTTTTAGTCACTAAGGGTTGAAACTTGTCCCAATCATGTTTTGACTTCTTTAATTGAGTAAGCGCCTGAGATAGATCCAAGATTATAATTTCAATGAATATGAAATGGTTTATTTTAGAGCACTGATATCATAGGGTTTGATTAGATTTTTTTGAGCCATGTTAGCTGTGTGGCATCTATGGGATGCAGATGTCAGTCAGTTAGTCGGTCCACCACCTTAGTCCAGGCTACCCATAAGGGGGGGGAAAGGGGGGAAAGCTATCTGGGGCCCTGGTGCTACGAGGCCAGCTATAACCCTGTTACATACTGTAGGAGAGAAATGAGTTAAGCAGATTTGGGAAGGTCTCAGTCACTGGACCTTTTCAGCCCTGGTCTAGACTGAACTGTCTCAACAACTATTTGATAGGTTGCCAAGAAATGTTGTACAAAAATTCATGTTCCCTATTTGATAAATTGAACTTTGGTGATCCCTTAGCCATCTAGTTCCATCCCCAGGTCAAAATTTGAATGTGTATAACAATTAATATTTGAGCTAGTTTATAACTAAATACCTGCAAAACCAGTGACATTCCCATCAGCTTTGTTGTACTGTGTTTTGTGCTAAATGCTAAAAGGATAGGAAAATAGGATAGTGGACATGGTAAACCTTAAACCTGCTCAGCATGTTGTGAACATGTTAGCATCATGGCATTAGCATTTAGGTCAAAGCTGTTTGAAAATACAGCCTCATAAAGCTGGTAGCATGGCTGCAGACTCTTCTGTGATAATAAACCATACTCACAGGTTGCACAACATATTTGAGATATAACACAGGTGAAACAATTATCCTGCATCCAAAGCTTCCCATATGTTTGGACATCATAACTTGAACTCTGCACCACAAACGTCCACTTTCCAGCAGCATAGTGGCTGTTAGCCAAAGAAAAATGAATTTGAAAGCTTGGACCAAAGAGAAATAGCTCTGAAACCGAGAGAGGTAAAATGGATATTCATTACTCAACTGCTGCCCTCAGTAATGGAGTACGGGAAAGGTTACAAATTGTGGTTTCTGTCACAAGACAATGGACAGTGGCCACTGAAAGGCTCCATACACTACAATGAAATGCAAGGTATAAATCACACTGCTGCCCATCGCACTAAACCTCCTAGTGCTGCTCAAGAAAAAGCCAATCCTTTTATCGCTTCTGTTAAATACTGTATGACTCTTTAAACACTTAAATCAACTCAATAGTCACTTTTTTGAGATTGTGTTAGAAAGAAAAGCCAAATACACCAGAAGACCTTGATGTTAACAGGCATTGAAGCAAATCCAAACACAAGACTGTTGGGCCTGACAATGAAAAGCATAAAAAGGCCCATCAGCTAGTACAAAATTAAAAATGTATCAAACATGCATACAACCACATCTGGAAGATATGACTTAATAAAATGTCTGTTGACTGTTTTCTGCAGCAGTTCCTAGGAATCACTGCAGAGATGTGAGGTTAAAATGTTAAATGATTAGAACTGGTCTGTACTTTCCCCATACATGTGTAACAACAGGTTCAATTTGGGAAATCATTTGGAGGATTTAAAACATTTTTTATCCAATTTCCATCTAAAGCATGCACCAAGGCTTGATGTTAATCAATTTATCATAACAAATTTACACAGATGTTGCTTGGTGCTTCGAGCCTCTAGATTATTGCCAATAAAATAAGTAATTTTGCTACAGTGTTGTATAGAAAGTAGAAATAGAAAGCCAAAGAAAGCTGTGATCACCGTGAGAATGAGCTGGACGAAGATGCTGATGATTCTTACACAGACCAGGTAGGGAAAAAAAGGCCAGTTCACATCATAACAAGCCATCACAGCAATATGACAAGTCATTAGAGCATTTCATGACAATAAGAGCATTTAATGAAAATGCCATTTCATTTCGTCTTTAGCTCTTCTATCCTCCCTCTCTGCACAATTGGTGCAGCAGAGAAAGACGCCTCTCTGCTAATGGTAGCACTGTGCCATAAGAGCTGTATGGTCACTATATGATCTGTCTCTCCATCTCTCCCTGTATCTCTGCCTCTCTCTGTTCAAGTGTCACTGCAGCCCCAGTCTCTTGTTGCCACTGCAAGAGCTGCAGTGGTGGCACTTTCAGATCCATCTAAGCGGCTGGAAAACACCAACTACTGAGTAACCTTGGACTACATCCGAACTCAACTGCACACTTTAAGCCAGATGCCTGCCTTCAGTGTGGCCGCATACGTTATTCTGTTGCTGTCATACAGCCAAAGCTGCACGCACCTCCACTCTACCTTGAACTGAAAAGCATGCCATGAATAATTCATAATTTTCCATGTACATACTGAAATGTCTCATCTCCGGGAAAAAAAGGGGGGCAGCTTAATTAAGCAACACAATATTCAGTTTACAATTTCCAAAACTGGGGACAACAT